TAAACAGAATCATATAAAACGTGGTCCTTTGTGACAAGTTTGTTTGACTTAGCATAATGTTTTCAAGGTCCATCCAAATTGTAGCATGTGCCAGTGCTTCATTTTTGTGGCTGTAATGTCCCTTTGTATAGCTATATTACATTTTGTTTAGTCATCAGATTATGGACCATTTTGGTGTTTCATCTTTTTGCTATCTGGACTAATGTGCTGAAGATTTGTATACAAGTTTTTATATACACACATACATTTCTATTTGTAAAATACAGTTCGTCCTCTGTATCTGTGGGTTCTGAATCCATAGATTCAACCAACACCTGATCAGAAATACTTGGGAAAAAATTTCTGTACTGAGTGTGTCCAGACTTTTTCCCCTCATTATTACCTCCTAGACAGTACAGTATAACAGCTGTTTACTTAATGTTTAAATTGTGTTTGGTATTGAAAGTAACGTAGAGATGATTTAAAGTATACAGGAAGATGTGTATGGGTTATATGCAAATATTGTCTTGAGCATCCACAAATTTTGATATTTGAGAGGTGTCCTGAAACATCACAATCCCCTGTGGACCATAGGGAAGGCTATCCAGGAGTAGTGGAATTGCTGGGTCAAATGATAACTTCATAATTAACTTTTTGAGGAACTACCAGGCTAGTTCCAAATAGCTATGTGAAGTTTCTGTACATCCTCACCAAAGTACTCAATGGTAATGATGTGTCAGAGTTTCAACTAAATTATCCATAGACTATTTTAGTAACTTTTGGCAATGCCTTCCTTTACTTGTCTCTTCCCCCCACCCCCCCAATTTTCTTGGCAGTTCTTACATTTATTCTTCCATATTAATTGTAGAGTTATATTGTCAACTTTGAAAAACAAGTAAGTACTATTGGAATGCAAATAGTTGCATTTGATATTTGATGTAGGTCTTATCCAAGAATACTGTATATGTCCATTTAAGGTCTCTTGGATTTTCTAGACACAATTGTATCATTTCTTTATTGTAACATTTGTATCATTTGTCATTTACTTTGTTTTTAGTGGTAGTGAATCAGCTAGCATTATCAAAACAATGTTAACAATAGTGGTGTCCTTAAGTACTGTCTTTGTACCCTGATTATAATAGAAATCCTTTTAGTTTCAGTGTTCAGCATAGAGTTTATCACATAAATACATGCACTTTATCATGTTCAGGGCTTTTTTTTTAAGTCCTCTTATTACTCAGGATTTTATAGGAATGGCTCTTTAATCTTTTTAAAGGCTTTTACTTCATCCTGATATAATCATACTGTTTTTAATCCTTCACCATTATGAATCATTTTAATTGATTAATGTAGAACTACTTTTTCATTCCTACAAAATAAATCCTGCCTTAAGAAATAATCATAGCTTCCTTTCTCTCTTTTTTTAAGCCCATTTTTTATTTTGGATAATCTTAAACATTTATAAAAGTAGTCAGAATATACAGATACCCAGCATTCAATTTCCATTTATCACTTGATGTCTAGTCTTGCTCTATCAGTATCCTTTCCATATCTAGCTCCTCTATAATTTTGAAGTAAATATCAGATTATTATGTCATTCAGAAATTTTTGTGTGTATGTGTGTGACTGGACTTTGAAGTCAGGACTTCACACTTGCAAAGTAGGTACTCTACTGCTTGAGCCACACCTTCAGTCCATTTTGCCTTGGTTATGTGGAAATGCGGTCTTACAAAGTAGTTGTCCAGGTTGACCTGGAACCATGATCTCAGCCTCCCAAGTAACTAGGATTACAGGCATGAGCCACTGGCACCCAACTCAGAAATATTTTACTATGTATTTTTATGAGCTGGGTCCAGTAGCTCAAGTTTGCAAACCCAGCTACTTAGGAGGAAGAGATCTGGAGGAGCAAGGTTTGAAACCAGCCCAGACAAAGAGTTAGCAAGACCCCCATCTCAACCAATAAGCTGGATGTGGATGGAATATGCCTGTGATCTCAGCTAGGCTGGAACCCATAGGTAGGAAGATTGTGGTCCAAGTGGCTAGGCAAAAATGCAAGAGCCTAATTGTGAGATAATTAAAAACCCAAAAAGACTGAAAATGTAGCTCAAGTGGCAGAGCACCTGCCTAACAAGCATGAGGCCCTGAGTTAAAAAACCCCAGTGTTGCACAAAAAAAAAAAGAAAAATATTTTTAAAGATAACTTTTTATAAAAAGCACAACACTGTTTACATGTAAAATAAATACGCAGTTAGTATTCAATTTTCAGCTATTCTTACAGATAGATGTAGATTTGTTTATGTAGATATTTGTATGTGCATGTATGCATGTATGTATGTATGTATGTGTGTATACAATCTAAATTAGGTTCCAAAGGAAAGTTTAAAGTACAGTAGATTGATGGTCTGTAAGTCTCTTGACTTTTGTGGGTTTCTCCTCCTTATCTTCTTTCTCCCTCATTGTTTACTTCAAAGAAAGCAGGTCATTTGTCTAACCTTCATGTAATTTCCCACAGCCCAGAGCCTTGCGCTTGTCCCCCAGGCAAATATTCTACAACTTGAGCCATGCCTCCAGCCCTGGTGTATTCTTTCAGTATGCTGTTGTATTCACGTTGCTAGTATTTTATTTATGGTTATATGACAAGATAAAATTTCTTTTTAAAATATGTGTCTCAGGTTTATTAAGATGATGCTAAATAAATGTTCTGCAGTGATTTGGATAATTTTTGAAGATAGCTGAATGTGACTATCAGGTAGTTTTAACAAGTAATCTATATCCAGTTTTCAGGAATAGATAATTTCAGGCTTATTTTACTGCAGTAGTATAAACTTGATAGGATAACCTGATAAAAGCACAATCCAAAATTTAGCAGCCAGACCATTTAAAGAGTAGAACATGATGAAAATGTGTGATTGGGTTTAACATTGCTTAATTGTTACTTAAACTTACCCACTTTTTTCATCTCCACTAGCACCACTTCAGTTCAGGTCACCATCATTTCTTCTCTTCTGGTTGCCTGCTTCTAGCTGTGTTCCCCTCAAATTCATTTTTCCTGTTGCAGGTTTGGTTTTTTGTTTGTTTGTTTTTGGCAGTACCGAGGCTTGAACTCAACACCTCATGCTTGCTAGGCAGGTGCTCTATCACTTGAGCCATTCCACTAGCCCTGTTTTTTTTTTTTTGAGATAGAGTCTCTTGTACTATTTGCTGGCTGCAAACCACAATGTTCCTGCTCTCTGCCTCCTGAGTAGCTAGGATTCTAGGCATGAGCCACTCACACCCAGCTGCAGTTCTTTTTAAAATGGTCATGGTCATGACATTCTCATTCTAGTGTGTATTGAGCAACACCTGTGGACCTGTTACATTAGGCAGTAGAGGCTAGCTGTCTACATTTATTGAAAGTACAATGTAGTAGAGGAGATGGATAATAAAATAATCGCTAATGAGTATATCGTTAAAAACTATGAGAAGTGTTCTGAAGGAAAGAAATCATGGCTGTAGCAAAGAGTAGAAGAAAGAAACCTGATCTAAATGAAAGGCTATATTATCAAACACAAGGATATAGTGATCAAAGAGAGATAGATGATCAGGAGTATGATGAAGTCTCAGGCCTGGAATCCTACTTGGGAGGCTGAGATTGGGAGAATCAAGATTCCAGGACAGCCCAGGCAGATAGTTCACTAGACTTCCATCTCCAAAATAACCAGAGCAAGTGGATTGGAGGTATGGCTTTGATGGAGTACCTGATTTTTGTCTGCTTTGTAAGCACAAAGTCCTGAATCAGGTCCTCCCCCCACCAAAAAAAAAGAGTATTAGATAAAGCAGAATGAGAAAAAAATTGCAACTAGAGGGGCACATGTTCTAGGACATGTGGGAGGTAGGAGGGAGCATAGCATATGCCAGAAACAGTTGGGCTAGAGGGCAGAGAGCTTGGAATTGCTGAAATGAGCTGGAGAGTAGTTAGCAAGGCCAGACAGTATGAAGCCTGTAAGCCATGTCAAAGGTTTTCATTTGTTTATGTTGTTGGGAATCAAACCCAGGGCCTCACACATGCTAGGCAAGCACTATACCACTGGGCTACACCCCGAACCCCATTTCAGAGGTTTTTGTTTTGGTTCTAAGATCTTCAGGAGGTTATTGAAAACTTTTTTTTTTTTTTTTGAGATAGGGCCTTGTGAACTATTTGCCTGGGCTGGCTTCCAACTGCAATCCTCCTTTTCTCTGCCTCCTGAGTAGTTAGGAGTACAGGTGTGAGCCGCTGGTGCCTAGCTGTTGTTCATTACAGATATTTATTTGGTTTGGTTTGGTATATTGAAAACTTTTAATCAAACGTAAAAATGAAGTCAGGCACCAGTGGCTCACACCTGCAATCCTTGCTAGCTACTCAAGAGACAGAAATCAGGAGGATCGGTATTTGAAGCCAGCCCAGGCAAATAGTTCTCAAGACCTATCTCGAAAATACCCAACACATAAAGGACTGGAGGAGTGTCTCAAGTGGTAGAGCACCTGCCTAGCAAGTGTGAGGTCTTGAATTCAAACCCTAGCACTGCCAAAATAAAAAAAGGTAACGATGATTCAAAGGTATGTAAGATAATAATTAGACAATAATTAAATTTTTAAAAATATCTACTGTCATATTGGTTTTCATGGGAAAAAGTAATTGTTTAGATAAGTATATTTCTAAAAACTGATCATCTCTTTGTGTCACATACTCTTGTGTCTAATGTAATTCTTATCATGTCAGTCACTGGCTCTTTGAAGATATGGTATTTTGCAAGTGTGTGTCATTTTAATTAAGGGCCTACATGAGAAATGAATATCCTGTAATCATAAAAAGCCTTGAAATGGTGTAGTGAAAGATTAGGGAAATATTTATGTAGGAATTGGTATCACATTCATTAATGAAGAAACAGTTGACAAAGGGAAATAGTTTATCAGAATGATTATTGAGGGAAAGCTTTTTAAGAAACTCATTTGAAAGGTTTTGGAATTTATTTATTCTAACTTGTTTCTGTTTTCCTTTGTAGGAGAGTAGTTATTTTGATGGATTTAGAAGTTTTGAAGTCAGCTGAAGCAGTTGGAATAAAGATTGGCAATCCAGTGCCCTATAATGAAGGTAAAATCCCCTTTAAAGATCATAACCCTCAATTGAATGCCTCTTACAGATGCAGAATTCTACCTTTTGGATTCAGTTTGAGTTGTTAGTCTTAATAAAGCAACAGTGATTCTGGGGTCTAGGAATCAGGCTATTCAGTACTGAAGAAGTGGTAATGTGAATATAGGGGGAAATTTAAGAAACAAGGCTTGGGGATTGGCTCAGATGGTAGACTGCCTGCCTAGCAAGTGTGAGGTCCTGACTTCAAATCCCAGTACTGCTAAAAAAAAAAAAAAGAAAGAAAGAAAAGAAAAGAAAAGAAAAAAGCAACAGAAGTGCAATGGTCACTCTTTGTAATATCCACTTACAGTAGACTAAAAAATAACAAGTATCTAGGTTATTATAGTAATGTAGGATATTATATAGCACATCTGTAAAATTAATGGGAAATTCATTTTCTTAACATCTTAAGCATATTTATGTTTTTAAATAGGGAGAAGTATCCTTGTTTGGAGGACTCACTGCACTGGTAGTTTATAGAATCATCTCTGTATTGCTAGGCTATGGGTAAACAGTGTAAAGGTAGAGGCCATATTTATTGTATTTCTAAAGCCTGGCTTACACAGTTGGCCTGCAGTTAGTATCTGTCAAATGACACATATGATGTTATCAGTGATTATCTCTCTCTCTTTTTTTTTTTTAAAATAGGGTCTTGATATGTAGCTTAGGCTTGCTTTGAACTCAGTGTATAGCTCAGGCTGGCTTGCAACTTGAGATCCTCCTGCTTCATTCTCCCCAGTACTAGGGTTATAGACATGGACAACCATGCCTGCCTTAACAGTGATTACCTCTTGATAGCAATATTATTAGTGGTTTTTATTTTCTTGTAGAATATATATAACAACAGTGAAATCAGGGGTAAAAAAGTCCACTACTTAGGCAATTAGTGTTCTAGAGCAAGGCAAAAAGAATCATTAACTCTCTGGCCCCCAAAAAAGAGAAGGCCTGTCTGCCCCTCTACCACATCAAATAAAAATAAAAGTAAAGCCTCATAGTGCACCAAAAATAAATTCCAGTTACATTTTTAAAAGGTAAGAAAATGAAACCCTCAAAAGTAATAAAAACAAAAAGGAAGGGACTACATAATATATTGGAATAATTGCATGTTAAAAGTAAGAAAGTATATGAACTTAAACTAGGATAAAATATCTACAACAGATAGGATTGACAGGGTTAAACTTTTTAATATTTACTGAATTTCTTACATGCCAAGGAAAAAATACTTCAATAGCAAAACAGGTATTGAATAGGAATAGACTATTCCCTGTCGGAGGAAAACAGTTGGCTAAGACGTAAGAAAAAATATTCACTAAGCCATCGTGGTGGCACATGGCAAGAAGCCCAGCATTTGAGAGGTTGAGGCAGAAGGATTGCAAGCTCAAGACCGGCCTGGCTACGTAGTAAGACCCTGTCTCAAAAAAGAAAAAAGACTTAACTATTCAGCCTTGCTGTTCCTCTTTGTCTTGTTTTGTTCCTTTCTTAGAAAGCCCTCATACTTACACCATTACATATTATGTTAATTGTAGATTTTCCATATATTCTTTTATCAGGTTGAGGAAGTTTACTTCTATTTCTTGTTTGCTGAGAATTTTTTATCAGGAATGGATGCCAAATTTTGTTGAATGCTTTCTCTGTCTATTGATAATCATGTTTTTTCTTTTTTGGTTAATTAATATAGTAAATTATAGTGATTTTTTTTTTTTAATGTTAAGCCAACCTGGGATTTCTGGGATAAGTCGATTGTTGTGATATATTATCCTTTTTTATGTATTGTTGGATTTACTTTGTTAAGTCTACTTAATTTGATTTTGTTTAGGATTTTTACATATGTAGCCATGAGAGATTGCTTATAGTTTTCTTGTCGTGTCAGTCAGATTCTGATAACAGGCTAATCATGACTTCATAGAATGAATAGGAGAGTGTTCCTTAAATTTTCTAGAAGAGTTTTTGTAGAACTAGTATTACTTCACCCTTGAATGTTTAGCAGAACCTTGCCAGTGGCTCATCTCTGTAATCCTTTCTACTTAGGCAGAGATCAGGGGGATCGCAGTTCAAAACCAGTCCCATGCAAATAGTTCATGAGACCCTATCTGGAAAATACCCAACACAAAAAAGGGCCAGTGGGGAGTGGCTCAAATGGTAGAGCGCCTGCCTAGCAAGCAGGAGGCCTTGAGTTCAAAGCCCAATGCCACCAAAAAACAAACAAACAAAAGACGTGTAGCAGAACTCACCAGTGATGCCACTTGAGCCCTCTTTTGACAGGGAGGAGGTACAGTATCTTCCTAGGAGGCGCAGGCTGGCATCAAACTCACTGTGTAGTCCAGGGTGGCCTTGAACTCCTGATCCTCTTGCCTTAGCCTCCTGAGTGCTGGGTTTATAGGTGTCCTCCACCATGCCAGGCTCCATCATGTTTTGGGGTTTTTTTTTGTGTTTTTTGATGGTATGTTACTCAAATTCTGCTAAGTTTTTTGAGTCTTACTTTTATGTCAGATTATGGTACTTCCTGGTAAATTGTGTTGTACTTGAAAAGAGTATAGTGTGCAGCGTGTTCTATAAATGTCAAGTAGGTCAAGTTAGTGTAGTTCATGTATTCTAGATCCTTACTGATTTTATGTTCACTTGTTGTCAGTACTGAAATAGAGAGATATTGGAGCTTCCAGACTGTAAATTGTAGCTTTCTCCATTGCTCCTTGCAGTTCTTTTAGCTCTTTTGCTTCTTATGTTTTGAAGCTCTGGTGTTAAATGTATGAACATTTAGAATTGTTATGTTCTTTTGATGAATTGATTTCTTCATCATTGTGAAATGACTTTCTTCATCCCTGGTAAAATTCTGTGTTTTGAGATCTATGCTGATAATAATATAGCCACTTTAGCTTTTTTAAAATTAGTGTTATATCTTTTTCCCTATTTTACTTTAATTATTTTTAAATTTATTTTGGTGGTACTGGAGTTTGAACTCAGGGCCTTGTACTTGCTAGGCAGATTCTCTACCACATGAGCTACTCCCTCCAGTCTTTTTTGCTTTAGTTATTTTTCAGATAGTTTCTTTTTGTCTGGGGCTGGACCATAATCTTAATCTAAACCTTCTGTGTAGCTGGGATTATAGATGTGCACCACCATGTCTGTTTGTTTGCTTGTTTCTTTTGGCAGTAGTGGGATTTGAACTCAGGGTCTCGTAATAGGCAGATGCTCTACTACTTGAGCTGCACCCCCAGCCCTTTTTTTCTTTTTTTCCTTTAGCTGCTTTTCAGGTAGGATCTCAAGTTTTTGTTCAGGGCCATTCCTCCTACCTGTGGTCTGTCTTCTGTGCAGCTGGGGAGACAAGCATATGATATCACACCTGGTTTATTGATTGAGATGGGGGTCTCGTTAACTTTTTTGTACAGGCTGGCTTGGAATTTAAATCCTAAAATCTCTGTCTCTTTGAGTAGCAGGAACTACAGGTATGAGCCACTGTGCTAGCAAATATTTTGATGCATGTGTGGAGGAGGTATTGAAATTTGAACTCAGAGCTTTATAGTTGCTAAACAAGCACTCTACCACTTTCCAGTGTCAGTCCTTTTTGTTTTTAATGTATTTATGTCTTTAGTATATCTTTATATTAAATATGCATTTTTATAAGCAGTATGTTGGCAGGTCTTTTTGTTCAATTTGGTAATTTTTACCTTTTAATTCAGAGGTTTAGACTATTTGTATGTATTTAATTTAGTTATTGGATAGGTTTAAGTCTTACTCCTTGCTGTTTGCCTTGGTCTTACCTGGTTTTCTTATTCGTCTTTTCTGCTTTGAATTAATTCTCATTCTCTCTGGCTTTTTTTGCTCTTTTTTTTTTTTCCTTTGGCCATACGGGGGTTGAAACTAGGACCCCACACAAGCTAGACAAGTACCCTACACTGAGCCGTACTCCAGTCTCACTGGTATCCTTTTGGATTAAGGATAAATGAAGCCAAACCCAGTCATTTTTGTGCTGGAGACAAACTACATTCTGTCTTGGTTTTCCTAACTACAACTCAGTTAGGACTGAGGCTTTGCCTAAGTGGAGTAAAGAAAAGAAAGAAATTGGAAAAGTTTAATTCTAAACCTTAGTGGAGCATTCAACACGATACCAGAATGTTAGAGGCAAAAGGAATTATTTTAATTTTTACTTATTTATTTGCTGTATTGGGGTTTGAACTTGGCTTGGCGTGTGCTAGGTAGACAGGCATGCCACCACTTGAGCCATGTCTCCAGCCCAGAAGGAATACCTTTAGAGATTAGTTGTTTTGCCAATGAAGGGACTTGACCAAGGTCACACGGTAAATTGCTTTGAAAAGTGAGAATCAGCATTGGTGATTCCCAGGTGAAGCTGCTTTCTATTGTATCCAGGTATTAAAGATTAACCTTCAAACCAAAGCTTTGACCTACTGTGAAAATTGTATTTATGTACATAGACAGTAGTTATTAAGATAGTGCTGGGTTTGATCCCCAGCATCACAAGAAAAAAAAACAAACAAACTGATGCATTGAATAACTTTGTACATATGCCAGTATATGGGCTAAGGGGGTTTGGTTGCCAGCAGTGAGATTGCTGGGTCACTTGGTAAATTTGTCTGTGGTTGGCAAATACAGTTAGATAATAATTTCTCCATGTCAGTTTGTGTCATTTTGCATTCCCACTAGCAATGTACAAAAATACTGGTTACTTAGCCATGTCAACAGAATATGTTTCAAGTTTGTATGGATTTGTTAGATGAAAAAATGGCATATTGGTGTTGATTTTCATTTTAATTTCTATTCTGAGTGAGGTCAGCATCCTTTTAAATGTTTAAGAAGCCCTTTGGTTTTGGTTTTGGTTTCTGTAAACTGGCTGCTCTTGTATTGCCCATTTACCTTTTGTCTTTTTCTTCTCAATTTCTAAGAGTTCTTTAAGAAGTCAGGTTAGTTCTTTGGCTCTGATATGAATCCCAGAGTCTTTTTTGACT